TGCCCCCCTCCACCCTGCCATGCCCAGTGATCAGCATTCAAACCTGCCCCCCCTACACCCCAGGATCAGCACTCAAACATGCCCCCCTCCACCCTGCCATGCCCAGTGATCAGCATTCAAACCTGCCCCCCCTACACCCCAGGATCAGCACTCAAACATGCCCCCCTCCACCCTGCCATGCCCAGTGATCAGCATTCAAACCTGCCCCCCTCCATGCCCACACGCTCCTTGTCTCATTCGATGCGAGCCCTACCAGACGGGCTAATTAGCCATAGCTTAGAGCAGCTAATCACCGTTAATCCCGGGTCTTTATGCTGAACGGATCCAGTTAAAAGGTGGGGAGTGAAACACTGGGATGTCTCGCCCAGTGTGACCATGACTGCACCAGTCTACTGAGACCTGGCGCTGTGAGCCAGTGCCCACTTCTGACCCCTCATATTCCATTCTAAGGGAGGCAGGTGAGGGCATCTTTGCAAGTGGTGCATCATGGGACATGAGCTTCTGAGGAAGTTCAGCACTCCACGCTTCATAGTGGGACCAGGTAAAGCTTTCACTGGGGGAATGAGGATCTGGGACCTCTGAAACATCTCCATGCCTAGTCTATGCCTCAGATCCCTGGTCACAGATGGGCATTCCTGGGAGTTTTTGGGGATTCTTATAGAAGGTGTTGTTTTTATCCATGCTAAGGCACAGGCCATCCAGGGATCTGAACAAGCAACCTTCAGGCACCCAGACTAGCTTGCACAATTGTTTCAGGATTTTTTCATGGTGGTGGGGGGCATAAGAGGAGCTATAATTCATACCGAGGGGGCAACCTTATCATTAGCCAACGGTATAGCATTCCGGGGACCAATCAGCTTTCGTCTGGGGCCAGTGCCCCTGTTGGTCCCACCCATTACTTCACAGCCCAAAGTGAAGGGCAGTTTCATAGGGGTCCGTAGCATTTTCTGTCCCTCCCCCAGGATGATGTCACCTCAAGGATATTTTAGCCCCTCCCATCGCTTCTGTGGTGATCATCTGCTTAATCTGCAGTCTGTTTAACGGCAAGGCCACACGGGGGAGATGTTCTTAATCTGCATGTCATCGTGTGTGTCTGCGCGTATGTGTCTGTGTGTCTCTGTAAGTGTGTGTCTTTGTGTGTCTGCGCGTGTGTGTGTGTGTCGTTTATTTATGTCTCTGTGTCCCTGCGCACACGTGTGCATGTGTGTGTATCTTTGTGTGTCTGCGCGTGTGTGTGTGTGTCTGCGTGTGTGTGTCTCTGTGTGTGTCTGTGTGTCTGTCTGTATCTGCGTGTGTGTGTGTGTCTGCGCGTGTGTGTCTGTCTGTCTCTGTAAGTGTGTGTCTTTGTGTGTCTGCGCATGTGTGTCTGTCTGTCTCTGTAAGTGTGTGTCT